GCATAATTCATGCCCATGTGCCAATCTGTGCCAGCTTTAATTAGCTCTTAACTTTTTGTCATTCATTTTGCTATGAACACCTTATAAATAAATGATGGAAGAGGGGAGCGGGAAAAGGGGCTGGAACGTGAGGGAAGGCTCCTCCCTCCTCCGGCCACATGGGGCCAGGGGCTGCAGCCCAGGCTGGGCCCAGGGACGCCCAGGCTCCTTTGCAGGGGTTCCTGGGTACCCTCTGCCCTGCAGATGGGTGGCCCCCAGCCCACCTTGTCCACCTTCCCAGCCTTGCTCTTTCACAAGCCGAGCTGAGCTGCCACAGCTGTGCCAGGCTCCAAGGGCCCACAAACCAAACTCCGGAGCACATGTGTCTGGTTTATGGTGGCAGGCACAGCCCGAGGAGAGGGGAGCGGGCTGGGACGGCGACAGGAAGTAACAGCTTTCCACCAGCTCAGTGATGGGAATTAAGGGGAGCAGGAAATGCCTCATCGTAAGGCGGGAAAGGGAAGCTGTTATGGAGGCACCCAGAGGAGAGAGGCATACATGTGCTTCAAAAATAATAGCCAGGCCTCATGGGACAGGGGAGGACTTGTATGTGAGTGTTGTTGTTTTTACAGTTCATAAAGCACTTTAATGTGTTTTCATTTCTACCTGAACAGCTACCTTGGGAGGTGTTCAGGGAGGCTGGGGGCTGTTTACAGTTGAGGAAACTGAGGCTCAGACAAGTTGGCTAAGGTCCAAGTCCACTGCATCTAGTGAGCTTTGCATGACATTGCACTGCCTCTCCTCTGTTTCTCTGGAGAAGGCAGTGGGGACAGAAAGTACCCCAGTGGGGGCTGGAAGCCCAGCTGGGATAAAATCGAATCCCAGGTGGTTTAATGACTGGACATGTTTAAAACAACAAATTTGGATTCCCTCCCTCTGTTCCTTCCTTCTTCATTCATTGAGAGTGTCAGTGAGCCAGCTCGTTATTAGGTGTTTGGGAGTACAAAGACAGTGAAAGAGAGATGCTGCCTGAGGCAGGATGCCAGCCCAGGACTGCCCCAGGACAATGCACTGTCCTCCTCTCCATCCTTAGCTCCAAGCCTATCCGACACCCCCAACCTCATTATCAATTGCCAAATGAAACCCAAGGTCCCCAGTGTGGCATCACAGGCCCTCCATGGTTCAGCCCTTGCTCACCTCCCAAGCCTCATCTCAGCTCTGCCCAACATGCTCCTCAGTCCAGCCCCACCACACTAAACTGTTCACACAGTCTCTAAACTGTGGAATGCCCGTGACAAATGCCCTTACTGGTCTTTTCTTGCCAGATTCTAAGAACCACACTTGAGAATGAATCACCCCCATTCTCTTTCAGCCTACCTCTTTACTTTGCCACCCTTACCTTGCTAGATTATAACTGATGTAATATGTTTGCCTCCCTCTTGGACTGGGAGTGCCTCAAAGACAGGGCTGGACGTTATTCACGTCCACTTGCTCAGCGTGCGGTCATGAGCCTGTTTCCTCAGATCCATTCCCTACCTTCCTCCCTGTGCTCTGTATCACAGCAGGCCAGACCCTGTAGGCTGCAATACCTAAACTCCTGAGTCTGCTGGGGTCAGCCAGTGCGAGGCCTCGTGGGGAGACTGGAGGGCTGGACCAGGGGAGAAGCCAGAGTCTCTTCTTGAACTCTGCCTTAGGCGGCATCTCTGGCAGTGGCCATGTCACCTCTGAGGCTCCATCCCCACCAGCTGGGTCCACTGTGGTTTCATCTTCCACTGGGTGACCCCAATCCTGGCAACTTTGCTTCCTCCCTCCCTTCCTCCTCCAGCCTAGGACTGATAGTAACTTCTTGCTGTTGCTGCACTCTGGGTGACCTCACCATCCCTTTTGAATTCTCAGCTCTTCCATCACTGTGTGACCAATCCTTGCATTGAATTCCCTCTCTGTTACACATTCGAATAGTTCTGTAGCTAAGTGTACCCTGACTGACACCTCAATTTCTAGCAAGGTGTCTGGCACAGAGTGGGCACTTGACAAATGTTTGTGGAATAAAAGTGGCTGCCAAGAGGTCTTATGAAAAGAAGTATGGTGTCCACATCAGAGGAGGTGATGTCTCACTGAGCTCAGTGCTGTTTTGCTCATATGTAAAGTGGTTGTGGACAGTTTCGGGAGTCACAGCTTAAAAGAGATAGCGACAAACCAGAAAGAAAGAAGGCTTAGGGTTAGAAAAACCGTGAAGAACACCTCTTCTAGTACTTTTGTTTTATGAATGAGGAACATGAGGCAAAGTGAGGTTCATTGCACAGCCCCAAGACCATCCATCTAGAGAGTGGTAGGGTCTGGTGTAGAGCCCAGATCTCCCAACTCCTGACTCCATCACCCTGTCTACAATCAGGAGTATCCGAGAGATGTATGATCATAGCTCCAGCCCTGCCCTTTCTCCCCAAGTCCCAGACTCATTTGTCCCATGGCCTACTTGACATCTCCACTCAGCCATCACAGGCCTCTCATATCCAACATGTCCTAACTGAACACTTGGTCATTTCCCCACAGTGGCCCTCCACCAGTGATCCCTGTCTCAGGGAACAGCACTCTGTCCATCTATTCCACAAGCCAGAAACCAGGGGGTCTCCTTGACACTTACCTTTTTTTCCCACCCCTAGAGTCACTCTATCTCCTAGCCATGTAGGTTTTTACCTCCAGAATCACCTCAGGCCAGGGCTCCATCACCAACCTCCTGGGCAATTGCAATAGCCCACTGGAATTCAAGTCCACCAGGACAGGGATTTGTGTATGTGTGTGCATGCGTTTATTTTGTTCACTAATGTATCCTAAGTGTCTAGATTCACAGGGGTCAGCAAACTTTTTCTGTAAAGGGCCAGAGAGTAAATATTTTAGGCTTTGCAGGTCATACAGTCTCTGTTGCAACCAGTCAACTCTGCCGTTATAGTGTGGAAGGAGCCATACCACAGATAATACTTAACTGGTTGGTGGTTGAATGTGTCTTTGTTCCGATAAAATTTTATTTATAAAAACAAGTGGTGGGATGTATTTGACCTGTGGACAGCAGTGTGCTGACCCCTACTCTAGAAGAGTTCCTGGCACATAGCAGGTGCTGCGCAGACATTTATTTTTAATTGAAGTGGTCTTTTATCTCTATTGCCTCCCAATCAATTCCCAATTTTTCTAACTACAAATCAGTCATGTCACTCCCATCCCTCAATCCCCACCCCAACTCCTTACTTTGAAGCCTCAGGCTTAGGATAAAGATCAAACCCTGGTCAAGGCCAACAAGGCCCTGCAGTGTGGCCCCCACTCCCACTCTGGCTTTACCGTGCTCCCCACCCTCTCTGTGCTCCAGTCTCTGTGGCCTTTCTTTAATTCCTCACATATGCCAGCTCCTTCCCACCACAGGGCCTTTGCACATGCTGTTTCTCCTGCCTAAAACTCCACCTTGTCTCCATTGCTCATACTTCAGATCGCAGTTCAGTGTCACTTCCTCCAGGAAGCCTGCCCTGATTCCCTAGGCTAGGTGTCATTAAAGCACTCTCCCTCCTAGCACTGATTCCAGCTGTAATTTTACCTGTTTGTGTGATTCATTGGTTAATGTCTGGTTCCCCCGCTAGAGGAGCTCCATGAGGCACAGAGACCAAACCTGTTTTGTTCTCCATCATATTCTCAGAACCTGTTTCAACTGGTAGCACATAGTAGCAAATGAATGGATGAATGGTTAAAAACAAAAAACAACAACAACAAAAACAAACTGGAGCTCTAGAATCAGTATACACTGGGTTCAATACCTGGCTCCACCACATGAGTAAGTCTCTTACCTCCCTAAAGCCTGTTCTCAGCTGTAAATAGGGATAATGACAGGACCTACCAGAAAGGCTGTGCGGAGGAAGGAATCAGTTGAGGCTCCAGGCAGCTATTGTCAATATACTGACCAGAACAGTGACAGGTCCAGGAATCCTGTCACAGGAGGAATAATTAAAAGAATTCAGACTGTTTAGCCTGGGTAAGAAAAGATCAAGGGCAGGGAATGACCGTCTTCACCAACCGGAAGAGCCAGGCCTATTAAATATGAACTTGCCCAAAGGCCAGAACAAGGAAGTTACACGTGCAGGACTAAGTTACATGTGCAGGACTTTGTAACAATTAAGATGTGACCGAATGGAACCGTCTCAAGAAGTCATGAAATTCCCCGTCCCTATAGATGTGCAAAAAGAGGCAGGGAAACCATCACTCAGGGTGCTGCAGAGGAGTCTCCTGTGTGGCTGAAGGTGCCTAGGTGACCGCAAGGGATGCTTCCAACTCGGGGTCCCCGTTTGAAAGCACTTGGGGCATCTTGGGTTCGACTGAGGGAGGCAGGCAGGCGGGAGCACATGAGTAAGGTAGGCAAAGACAGATGGTTGGAGCGAAGCTTGGGTCAAGCGGCCAAGGACTAGAGGGACCCAGCCCCGCGTGGCGCTCAGCGACTCTGGGAGCAGAGAGGGGGCGCTTAAAGCCAAAAGATGGCGCGGGCTCACCTAGGCCGAGCGCCCGCTCGCTTGCTCTGGCTTCCCCGGAGCATTTTCCCGCTCGGCCTGAGTGGAGCCGGCGGGAGGCTAGCCGGGCTGCCACTCCTCTGCGCGCCCCTCTGCGGTACGGCCAGAGGCCCTGAGGCACCACTCCGGCACGCACCTGAGGCCGCTTCCTCAGACTTCCTCCCGAATCCTTTGGGGGATTCGTCAAGTTGCCACAGCAGCCGGTGCCATGACATCGGCGAAGGGCAGCTTCGTCAGCATTGAAATATTCATACCCTGAGCGCCCGGCTCGCCTCCGCACCGCTCCCAGCGGTCCGGGCCGGGCCGGGACAGGGGGCGCGGGGGTCTTGGCGCCCAACCTTGAAAGAGAAGCGAGGCGCGGCGGGGCAGGCGGGTGCTGGGCGTGGCGGGAGTTAAGGGCGGGAGCGTCAGGAGGCGGGGTCTGGGCGGCAGGGGCCGAGCAGGGCGGAGGAAGCGAGCGAAAGTTGATAGCGGACTTGAGCGGTGGCGGCGGCTCGGGAAAGAGGGGCGCGGGTGACCGGCGCGATGCTCGGCGTGTGGACGCGTCCGACGGCAGCCGGGCACTGAGCTGGGCGGGGCGCGGCAGCCCAGCCCCCGGCATGGAGCCCTGGGGTGCCGAGCCACGGGACGTGTGGGGGGCGCTTCGTCCGAGCCCATAGCGCTCCTGAAGTTGCGGCCGGCGAGCAGCGAGCGGGCGGCCGGAAGGGACCCTGAAGCGGCCGGCTCGCCGCGGATGAGCCTCCGCACCGGCGGCGAGACGCGGCGGCGGCCAGGGCCGGAGCAGACGGCTCGCGGGGGCCGATCCGGAGGAGAGCAGAGCCCGGGGCGCGGCACCGCGCCGCTTCGCACACGCACACGGTACCTTGAGCCGCGCGCCGCCCTTTCCCTCCCGCTTCCCTCGCCTTCCCTCCGCCGTTCGTTCAACGCGCGGCAGGAAAGTTGGAACCGTGGAGTCGCGGCCGCAGCCGCGGAACCACTTGTTCCCCGCACGGCCATCGCCCGTGGCAGGCGCCCTGCGCCTCAGTCCCGGGCCGGTGGCCCCGTCCCTGCACCACGCTCCGAGCCTGCGGCCGGACGCGCAGCAACTTTGATTCCCGGGAACTCGAATTCTCTCTGCGTTGGCCTGGGGAGGACAGGCACCCCATCCACCAGGTTCCTGAGACCACAAACATTCCAGCGTGTTTCTTTCTGCGTCTCAGAGAAGGTTCGGGTCTGGGGTGGGGAGAATTTCGAGGGTAAAGAGGGCGTTAGGAACCAGTCCGGTCCCCTTTTGCTCTCTGGGTCCCCACTGAACAGTGGAGGTGGAATGGGGCGCACCCCGCACGGCGGAGTGGGCAGCGGCGCTGGAGGGAGCTGAAGTCACGTAGCTCCCCCCTCCTCTAATCACGTTCTTGTGCCCTCGGGAGACCCCAGAGAACTCCTGCAACCTCCCCAGTCCTTTCCAGCTGTTGGAAGACGCGTCCCTCGGGAAGACGGGAGCCATGGGTGGCTCGCGCCTCACCTCCCTCGCCCCGGGGCTGGCCCGCCACGGGCGGTGCTGGCTGTTCCCATGGTCCGGCGCCCTGGAGCGCTGCCCCTCGTGTCTCTCGCAGGTCATTCCGGGCTGCGCGTAGAGCCCGCGCGTTCTAAGGTGGCGGCGGCGCCGGCCAGTGGGCACTCCGTGCTTTGCTTTCCCGGAGCCGGCATCTGGAGCAGCTGCCTCCGTGCCGCTAGCGGAGATCCGGTGCCCTCGCCGTAGCCACCACCCCGCTGCGACCCTAGCCCCAGCCCAGACGACGAAGTCAGCTGCCCAGTGAGGGGAAATGAGCCTTTCCTGGGTAACACGTCGCCGCCTCCCCAGTAATTCAGCAAACGCCTCCACCCCAATTTGGATTTTGAAATAAACTGGAGAGACATGGGATTGAGGGTGTGTGTGTGTGTGTGTGTGTGTGTGTGTGTGTGTGTGTGCGCGTGTGTTGGGTGGAGTCAGACCCTTGCATAGAAGAAATGGGCTGCTCTGGGGTGGAGGGTGGTTTGGGGCTTGAAGAGCCTGGTTGGGGCAGGTGTGAGGCCTGATGAGTCAGCCCAAGGTTGAGGAGAGCTGGCTTGGAGTTAATACGTGGTTCATGGTGCAGGCGGAGGCGCGCCTCGGTCCATACCTATGGGGGTGGGAGGACCAGATGTCACCCTGCATAGGAGGGAGCTGGGAGGGGGCCCCTTGGTTGGGGGAATAGGAATGCTTGCACTGTCCGTTTCCCCAGCGCTGGGTAGGATAGGAGGCAGAATGCCCGCATGGCAGAGAGCAACAGTACCCCACAGGCTGGGAAGGTGGCACTACAGAAAGAAGTGACTGGTGTGAATGGGGAGTCTCTGCCCCGGGTGTTGGAGGAAGCAGTGAGGGGGTGAAAGGCCCAGAGCTGGCATCCTGGCCTCACCTGGGCACAGGCCACCTATACATGTCCGTTTTAACCTCCCTGACCCCCAAACAGCTGGACTCCTCACATCTGCTTGCCAGAGGGCTTGATTTGAGGGTTGTGATGGCAGATGGTCCTGGTTGCCTCCTTAACAGCTCCCCCATCCCAAAGCTATCTTACCTGTAGTTATACCGTTTGAGATTTATTTCTTTGAGCTAGATTTATTTCTTTTAAAGGGCACCTTTCTGAAGTCCTATTTAAAAATGCACCTACTTCTGGGAGATGGAGGTCTAGTGAAGCCTTGTTGCTCTAGTGGAGAGTGTGGTCTTTGGACAGGCCGCATCAGCCTCACCTGGGAGCTTGTTAGAAAGGCAAACTCTCGACCCCACCCTAGACTGCCAGGTTAGAATCTATCTTGAAAAGATCCTTGACAGAGATTCATGTGCATAGTAAAGTTTGAGAAGCTCCCGCCTTCTAGGGAATGAGCATTTCTTAGCGTCTTGATGTCGAACAGGATGGTGGATGAGAACTGGACATGAACTTAACTCCCTAGACAGCTGTGCTGGGGTTGGGTTAAGAGTCCACCTCTGGCTCCTTGCGGCTGCGCCACACTAATACCATTGAGTACCTCTGTGTTTCAGGGAGCTTTAAACAGATTCCAGTAGCAGCTCCGCTTTCAGTGAAATGAAAACATGGCTGTGTGTGCTGCACACAGGCCAGTGGGAAGTGGGTGGAGGGGGCAGGGTTTCCGGAAGCTGGATGTACGCTTTCCTGTAGGAGGCCTGGGGCTGAATGGATGCTGTCCCCCAAGGGGAAGTCATTAAGCAAATCACCCTCCACTGGTCTGTTCCTCCCAGATAGGTGGAATGGCCCACTGATAATGTTTCCATGGGCCACAGAACGTATGTGAGGGTGCTCCAATAGGCTAATTTGGGAAGGCCCAGAGAGGGGAAGATACTGACTGAGCTCTACTTCTGCTGCCCTCCGCCCGTGGGAAAACCCTAGCTCCAAAGTAGGAGGACAATGCCACGGCATGGTGGCAGATCACCCTGGTCTTCTGGAGGAATGATGACCCTAAAGCCAACAAGGCTGGCCTGAGAGTTGGGTCTAAAGGACTGTGGGAGGGATTTGGATCAGAGGCCTGATGGATGATTGGTGTCCCAGGTGAAAGGTCACGGCATGCCACCCCAGCCCTGCCAAAAGAGGACTTGTTCTTCTCCTAACCTGGCTCTTTGCCAGGAAGATGGACGACTCAGCCAGGGCGCAAAGTAGCAAGTGAGAGCTATGCGGGGACACAGATTAGCCTGATCATGGGCTGTATGAACAATGACGTTAATGTGGAAGCATTCTCTCATCGATTTGAAAATCAATGAGTTCAAATGTAATTAATAAAATCTTACTGTTTTCTTGAATCCTGAGGTCTTTAAAAATTCAATGTTTTAAAGTGTAAAGATGGCTTTTAAAAATAACTTAATTGTTTTGAATTCCATTGGGGTTTTTTTTTTTTTTTACATTCATTTGTTTTATTTTGGGCCTTGATTTGAGTTCTTCCTGGCACTAGCGTAAGCACTGTTCACTAACAGGTGAGCAATGTCATTCACGAGCTAGACCCTGATGGATAGGTCATTTTAGGGTAGAAGCATTTTGCCTCCAGTAGAAGAGAAGTAGGTTCTAATGTGGGTAGTACTGAAGCTTCACAGGAGTCACATCCTCCAGGAGGCCTTCACTGACTCCTTAGGTGGGATGGGTGGTGTGGGTTGGAAGCTTGTGCTTCCGTCTTTCACTGTCCTTCCATGTGACTTTATAATTCCATGTGGTCTGGCCCATCACTGGACAGTGAGCTCCTCCAGGGCATGGACCGTATCTTATTCATCCTTGTGTCCTCGGTGCCTGCCACACTGGCTGAGTTGGTGCTCAGTAACTTCATTGACTGAGTGGGCTATTGCTAGCTAATTGTTCTACTACCTTTCTACAACCAATTTTAGCTACTCATGTTAGCAAATTTCAAGACTCTAGGCATAGGCCCTTTCAGTAGAGGTCACAAACTCAAATGCCTAGAGGGTCCAGGAGGCAGACAAAATAGTAGAGCAGGGCCAATTGTGACACAATAGGGGGTGGTGGAGACGGTGGAGAACTGAAGAGTGCAGGCCCTGTATAAAAGCAGGCAACTGTAGGCACAACCCATCTATGGGACAGAAGTCAGGATAATGGTTACCTCTGGGGGTGTGATGGCTGGAGCACAAGGGATGCATCTGGAGTGCTGGAAATTTCTGATCCTTGATCTGAATGTCTTCAACAGTAGTGAAATGATCCTTTTTGCAGAAGAGCCAATTCAGAAAAAATTAGAACATTTATGGGCCATATTTATTCTGATTCAGTATGAAAACAGCTTTATTGAATCCCACAGGGCAGAAAATGCATATTCTTATCAACTTTATTGACTGCAAGGGTGTCAGTGAGAAAATCAGCATATTTAAGAAGTAGCTGCACGGGAGACGGCTTTCTAGTCTTTCATTCTGAAATTTGATCTGGATCGGTCGTGGGGATTGGGGCGGGCTACTGCTGCTCCTCGCTGGTCTGGTTGGTACATTCGGGCCACGAGATTTGTGCTTGTGGGGCTTTGTCTTGCCTTGGCAGTGAAAGTCTCCGTGGCCCTGGATTGCCAAGGGAATGTCAGATACCCCTCCTTAGCCTCAGGGGCTGCAGGCTGTGTCGCTGAGGATGACACAGCAGGCTCAGGTTTGGCATTCATATTTTTACATTTCCTTTGCATATTCTAAAGCCCGACAGGAGTGTTGATTATTATTATGATCATAAGCCATTCCCTTCGTGATTTTTGTACGGCAGCTTGGAGGCAGACAGAGCTAGGATTGAACACCAGTTCTTCCACTCTTCGAGCTGTGAAACCTTGAGCCCAGTACATAATCTCACCTAGGACTTAGTTTTCTCATCTGTAAAATGGGAATCGTTTTCATTACTTTATGTACTCGCTATGAACATTAATAAATGAAAACTGTATAGAAAGCCTTTTACAAAGTGCCTGGCACACAGTACACATGCAAAATGTAGTAGATTTTATTATTATCCCTTTTGACTAAGTTATGTGTCAGGTACATTATATTCTATTGACCAGCAAAAACTGAATCCTCCTCTTATTTTGAGAGCTTAACAGTCTATAAGTTTATGTTGAATTCTGCCTGAAGAACGTGTGTGTGTGGGGTTATCTATTTTGAATTAATTACTAACAACATTTAAAACTCCAGTAGTTTCACATAAAAATCTAGATTTCCAGCATCTCTTGTTAGAACTGGCAACATTGGGTTTATATTCCCAATGGGCAGTTGTTGATTGGAGCTGAGTGGCAGCCCCCTTTTAGTTATTTGTTTTTTTATTTTTAAAATGATTTTTTTGAGGAATACACAATACAATAAACAAATCTTAAATGATACTGGTGAATTTTTACATATTCACATTTCTGGATTGAGGTACAGAGTATTGCCAGTACCTTGGCTGGCTCCCTTATGCCCCTTCTCACGCAGTGACAGCCCACTCCAGAAGTAACCACTCTTCTGACTTCATTTTGACTTCTGTCACACATATGAGTGTTGCCTGCAGGCCCCCTTTTAGATTCAGGGGAATGCAGTTTTCAGTTCTCCTTAGTCCCCACCATTCCCTGTTGTCTTACTTTTGACCCCACTTTCCTCATTGACACTACCTTCTGGCCACTTTAGGAATTTGAGTTTGTGACCTCAACTCCAACAGCTGGAAGAGTCCTTAGAGATCAACTAGGCCTACCCCCTTATTTTATAGGTGGGGAAACTTAGGCCCAGTGTGGGGGAGTGGGCTTGTCCAAGGCCCTTAGATGAAGCTGGTCCTGGGTGGTGGCTGGTCAAGAGCAGAGCCCTGCTCCTCCTGCCCCAACATGTGATGTGTTGAGAGGGACAGGCAGGTCCTTGTCTCCCAGCTCCCTGCAGCCCAGGCCTGCCCCTGCAATCACAGGCACACAGAGCTTCCTGCAGGCTGATCAGCCTCAGAAGGAGTGAGTCTTTTTCTGGCCTGGGCCTTCCTGGAGATGCATCTTTCCTGAGGCAGGCTGTTAGCAACACTGCCTTCCGGCTCTAAAGGCCATTCTCCATTTGGAGAGGACCTGAGATGCCATTTGTGACAAGGGCCCAGCTCATCACCTTGATTGTGTCTGTTTCTGAAAGAAGGCTGTAATTTGGGAGACAGTGAAAGTGAGGTGGAGAGGGAAGTAGAGGAGAGAGCAAGAGAGAGAGGGAGGGAAGAGAGGGAAAACAAAAGGGGTAGCGGAGACCCTGCACTGTGACTCCACTCATATCACTGATATGTTCCCCAAGGCATGCCAGCTTTTCCAGGTTTGGGCCAGGGTGGGCTTTGTCCCTCCAGATGACCCTTTTAGCTCTGCCCCACTTCTGTTCTTTGCCTACGGAGATCGATAGGAGGCTTGCCATCCTGCCTCTGGGTTACAGGGAACTTTATTTTCTTCCAGCCCTCTACATCCCTCTCCTGCTCTGATCTGCCCCCTGCCCCAGAATGAAGCTGATCTTGCCTGTCTTTCCTGGGGCCAGGAGAGCTGATATAATTTCCAAGGAGCCGGTGGTGACAGAACACTAAGCCAGGACTCCCTCACCCCTTCAGTGGGACCTAGGGCTTTGTCTTAGAGGAAGATGCATGGGTGGGCTGCTCTAGAAAACACCAGCACATACTGGGCAGTAAAGTGAGGGATCCTTCCAACCCAGTTCCTTTGTGCTGGAGGGTCCCTTCCCCTGTGTTGGGGGAGGCCCTGCATTCAGCCATTCATTCTACCAATATCGAGCATCACCTATGTACCAGGCTCTGTCTGGTTGCTGGGGATTCGTGTGAGAGTCTGCAGCTGTGCTGTCCAGTAGAAATATACTGCAAGCCACAAATGGATAGTTTTACATTTTCCAGTGAAGTAAGAAGAAACAGGCGAAATAA